GTGGACAGAAATTAGGAAAAAAAATTATTTCAGAACCTTCTCGTACATTTTGCTGTTCATTATTGCTTCTGGATCTCACCAGATCTCTTTTTTTTTTTTTTTTTCTTTTTTTTCAGCCCTTGTGCTTGTTTTCAAAAGCTGTGTGATGGTTGGCTAATAAGGGCTGTAACAATAGTTCATTTGCAATATGTAATAAAGTTGAAAAAATGTTATTGATCATTTTGGATAGACAGTCAAGAACCTTTTTTGAAGGTAATTTGCTTTTCTTGAAGAAACACTGTCATGGTTTGAGCAAATTTTACAGGCCTGAGCTGTCAGCCAGCTTTTGTAGCCAAGATCAGCAAACTTAATAGCAGTGAGAAAAAGTCTTTTTTGGTATTCTGTCCACTTTTATTCGTATAGCAAACTGCACCATTTTCATGTTAATTAAATCTGTAAATTGCTGTGAATGACTTCCAAAAATCTGTGCCTCTCAGGACATATCTTTAAACGGATTTTTTTTTTTTTTTTAATGCATGTTTAGAAGTAGGTGCCAAAATTTTTCAGGTGATTAGAAAGCATGCATTTCTAAATTAATTAATTTGCACTAGCAACCCCCTCTGCTGCTTGCATTTGGAGTTTTGCTTCCGTAAAACAGTAACTATTTTGGGGAAGTATTATAAGACCATTTTCTTGTTGCGAATACCTAGAAAATTCAAAACATCTGGAATCCGAAGTACTGATTTTCTTGCTGTTTTTCCTACAATTTCCACCAATAATGCACAATTATTTTCCACTTTAGTTCTGGTTCATACGAGTGGTTTCTCTTTTTTTTTTTAACCCACTTGCAAGGACTTTGAGCAGAAGCGACTGCTCTCTCGGAGGGGAACAGTTGGTCATCTTCGTCTGGAGATGCCATTAGAGCTCGCTCGGCGCTGCGGAGTGCTGAGACACACGAGGCTGCCGTTTCGCCTCACGTATAATGTAACGCAGCGTACATTCCTTACAGCGAGGAACAATTTTGGGATTCAGTAACTATCAGCTTGGCAACGCATTTATTTCACACTGAGATCACTAAAACCATCTGTTGATAATTTGCTTTCTTATGGGTCTCTGGCTCGCATCTCTGAATAGAAGTATCTAAAGTCATTGCCTGAGCCTGTAATGATTCTTATTTAAGGCTTATTCACAGTGAATTGAATGCAAATAAATCTTAAATTTTTACAGCTTCATAAAAAAATCTGATTATAATGAAACATTTAATGCTAACAGAGGCAGAAGCAGTTAAAAGTGATCGGAATTCCTAGTCAGCAGTTTTCTTTGGGAGCACTATTATTATTTCTTAAATGGATAGTCTTGTTTTTTTAATCGGTTATGCTGACACAATGATAAATATTTCCAATCAGCTGTATTTCATAGTCACAATTACACATCCTAACATAAAATACAAGATTATTTTAATATTTTCAGCATTAAAAAGTGACGTGATTTATACTGTTTTTTTAAATTACAAAGCAATAAATGTAATTGTATGCAAAAACTTGACATTTAGTGGACAAATGTCTTATATAAATATATGCAAGAATTTTGGAAGTTATGTTAAGGATTGAGAAGGGCTGACATTACAACCAGGTAATTAAACTTATTCTAAATGGCGTGTAACTGTGGGTGTCTCTGCTCAAGGCTGCTGTGAATTGTGAACAAAAGGAGCTATGACAGCTGTTCGGTGGGGATAGAAGGGCAGTTTTGACCCGATACCTAAAAGTTTGCTAAAATTATCTAATAGAAATCTACTGCTGAAGAAGTCCAAAAAATTATTTTATGAGGTAGCCTGTGTTGAAAGATAGATTAATTTGTGACAGAGCAGTAGTCTGCATGTTTTTATCATATTTATCCAATTAAATAAACAAACTTCCCATTTCAGTGTACTTAATACGCTTTAAAAAATTATTTAAGGTTGTGATGTTTGTGTGCAATGGAGTTAAACTTCATCAATATAAAACCAAGTTGTATGAGAATATTATACAGCATGAATATTGAGTATTATTTTACTTACAACTTTGCTAGATTTGAAGGTAAAAATCAAGAATATACCAGGCGAGATGTGTTAAATAAACTGGATTTTTAGTCAAAGTAGATTTGATATCTTGTAGGGATCCTTTTTCCTATCAGCGAGATATTATCACATACAGAATTTCAGAACATATACAAGTTGTGTGAGCATCTTGTTCTTTTATCATTACTGCTGTGGGATTCTTCATTCAGGCAGTTTTTTTTCCCTCTATTCTTTATGGAGCATTAAGTACAACGGAGTATGTCTTTAACATTTCAAAAAATATAGAGTTTTTTTGTAAATTTAGATTTTAAATTTCTCCACCCCGTGCTTATTTGTCCATATTCAACCTGTACAGCTTGAATGCCAGCAGGATACTCTGTGTTTCAGGATTTCAGTGTGGCTTGCCTTGTCATAGCTAGAAACTGCAGAAGAAAGGATGGACTTCCACTTGACTGGCACGAACCATTTCCACCAGTTATAGAGAATTTGGGGAATTGGGCTGTGCTTGTTCAGGAAGTACAGGGAATTTGCAGGTCATCTGTAAATTGTATTTTTTCGTGGACTTGTCACTGAAAACATTGTTGTGAAATAGTGGAACAGGCTGATCGGAGAGGTGGTTGGGTCTCCATCCTTAGAGATGCTGAAAACCTGCCTGAACAAGCTCTGGACAGCCTGCTCCAAGGGGCCCTGAGTGGGACCAGATGACCCAGGTGGTCTCTGCCAAATGATTCTATTTGTACCTGTGTTTGCAGGGCAGAAAGGAAAAAGATGGAAATTGAAGACAGTGTGAGAGTTTTTTCCAAAACAGAAGTGTTACAGATAAATTCAGATTTGAAGACTGGTCAAACTCACCCAGCCTGATGGCTTTTATTATTAGTCTGTGTGATGTGATAGTTTTTTGAAGGTGTTAATTTCTAAACGGTTTCATCTTGTTCTTCTATGTAAGACATTGCTTTATTGGAATCTCAGCGCGTTGTTTACAGTTCATTTTCTTTGTAGAAAGGATTCAAACTTGAAATGTTTTCTACTAATGCCCACCTCCTTCATCTTACGTTACACCAACAGTAAGCTCGGGTCTGTTTACTCCTTTGAAAGATGATCTCCTTTAAACATCCTCTTGGATTTTACATACCTAAAAATCCAATAACTTTTCCTCCAGCCTTGTCATTGTCAGTCCATGAATAGGGCGCCTCATGCCCCCCATGCTGTTTGGGTAGGAAGCTGTGATTGCGGGGCTAATCTTCTTAGTGATACTCAGCACATGAAGGGTGGCGCCTGTAGGAGGACATCTATGGTGCTGGATTTGCTGTTGCTGTGATTTTTCCTTCTTTCTGAATGGTTTTGACATCTGGCATTAGCGATGTGAGTACAAGTGTATTAAGAGAGATCTTTTACTAGTAGATGTGAAAAGAGCCACACACCCCAGTGGTTTTCAAAAGAAACAACAGCAGCTTAGCCGTACTGACAGAATGCTCAATTCGGTTGAAACATCCTTAAAAATGTTGGTGAAAGAAACCAATTTTGGGAAATACAAAAGGTTGTATGAGGTTCACTTCATGTCTCAAAGAAGAGAGGTTTGAGAAGAAGAATCGCACCGGGGCATTGCCCTGCATCATCGCGGGTGTAAACGAAGTTATACAATTTGCAGTCCAATGTTCTGGAGCCCACACATTCAGCTACAGATGGGGGGGGAAACATAAGGTGATTAAAAGCTCTTTTACAATATTCTTTTCTGCAAGCAATTATTTAGAGAAGGGTAAATGCCACTTAATCTGTATGTAGGAACACTAAGGAGTTAATCTCCAGAGATGTCTTTGATATTACATTTGTTGAGATAGAGCTGTCTTGAGGTCGTGTGGCCCAACCCCAGCAAGTCTTGCAGTCACGTAAGCATTGAGCTGCTTAGTCTTTAAATCACTGTATAGAAAGACAGTCAGCTACTGCAGCTACATTTATTTATAAACTTTCTAAACATTTTTTTTTCAAACAGCCTCTTAATTACTTTTTAGTACAGATCCTTAAATGTTAGAATATTTTTTTTATTAGAAGCAGATATTAAAAACATGTTTCGTTGCAGCTGAAGTTGAAACCGGCTTCGCTACTTGCTATGGAAACAAGTCTTTAAAACAAATCTGTTGTGTATGCTGTTGTGCCAATCCATGTTTTTATGTAACCAGGGAATTTTTTTCATGCCTTTTTGCAACCAGCTTGTAGAAAGAAATGTGATACAGAACCTATGCTTTTTCTCTATTATAGCCTGAATTAAGAGTCGGTAATCTATGTTTATGTCAGAAGTATGTGTTAATTGTCCCACTGGATTAAAGAAAGGATGGGACAACTAACACAGAAAGGTATGCAACCTAACTAAAGATTAACCTAATTAAAGATTTCCCCAAAGTTCTGTTCCCTGTCATTTGCACATGAGAATGTTGTGGTTTGTAATGCCACCGTTATTAAGAGTTAGGAGGGGCTCAGGTGCTTTTAGGAAGAGTTGCATCATACTCTTGGTTTTGATACTTGTTCATTAATTTAAGTGTATAATATTAAACAGCAATCGTTAAAATTAATTAGTTTCATGAATTGTAAAATACCATCCAGCTATTTTTCCCCTTAGTGTCCCGCTTTTACCTGCCAGCCTGTAGAAGCCCATGATCTGGGGCTGAGCATCCCTGACCTGAACGAAGAGTCTCGTGTCACTGCTGCCGTGTGGCGGGAGGTACCGCGCACTGTTCAGGTGGTCACTTATGCTGACACCAAACTCCTCCATAGAACTCTCACCTCGCAATAATCCTTCCCCTAACCTGTGCGGATTGTTCTAGATAACTGGCTGAAGTGATTCAGTTATAAGAAGGGTGCTAAAAGTAGCTGGCACTTTGAAAAATGTTACAAAAATTGCAACAAATCTTCATGAGCTGGATTGTCTGTTTTTTAAATAACTAATTTGTCTGTGTGTTTCTTGATGCAGGCCACAGAAACGTTGTTCCGAATGGCAGTAGCAAGAGGAGCTATTACACCTTTAAGACATGGAGAAGTAAGGCGAAATATATCTTTTTCTTTTTTTTTTTTTTTTTTGGCACATGTGGTATAATGCTTTATTAATGTAATGCTTTATAAATTCCTGAGAGACATATTGTCTTCAGGTAGGTGAGGAGGGCTGAACTATATATAACTTGCATACCTATGTTAGAGGTTTTTTTAAAGGAGACCAAGAATTGAAATCCTGCCCAGTGGGATGTTAAGTATTTTTCAAAAAACACTCTATTTTTCTCTTTGCCTGAATCGTAATTTAGCCTTATAATAGAAGTGAGTCGCAACAGTGTCCTTTTGGCCAGGTAATTTTTCACTTGGTTTTGCCAATAAAAAATTACAGAAACTAAAGAAATTCATATGAGATTGATTGTTGTTATTGGGTAGCTGTGGAGAGGTTACTTCATCCATTGTCTGTTCCTTTCAAGAAATAGTAAATTCAGGTAGTATATGAAGTATTACTACATTAATTATTCTAAAGAGGATAAATGTATTTGAATATTGTGTTACTCATACATAGTTCTGTTGATGGCGAACATTTCTTTCCTTCTTTGTGTGGCTTTGTGTCAGGTAAAAGTTGTTCTGAACACTGCTGATTAAATGTCTCCAATATAAAGTGGTGGAATTTATGCTTAGGTTTGATTTCATTTAAAAAAACCCCAACAAACTACGGTTGGTCATGACAGTGGAAATGAGAACTGATCTGGGCATTGCCACAGCTGGATGCTACAGTATGTTGGGTTTTAAATGTAGAAACCTCAGTGTTTTTTGTGGAAATCTCATTTTGATCAAATTCTTTGGTAACTTTATGAAAAATTCATACAGTAGACACAGCATTCAATCTGGAATCTAGACCTACCCTGCAATCTCAGCTGTGCTGTAAAAGGTTCCTTATGCTGATGAAGTTGCCTCAATTTCCCTTTTGCAATAAAGTAATAATTTTTCCATCGGTATCTGAAGATGTCCCTGAGATTCCTTCTCCTGCCATTGTCCATAGTTTTAGCTTTTCTGAATATGGATCCTCTATACTTTTTATGTACTGCTCTTCATTGTTTTCTACAGAAGAGTGTAATGCGATTTCCAGAAGTCTTAGTTACGGACTATGTACAACCCTTCCAAATTCTCTCTGTTTAGGTTTTTGTCAGTGAGGGGTACTTAATTGTCTGTGTTTCAATGACCATGGTTCCCAGAGAGTTTGTGGAATCTCCATCCTTGTAGTTACCAGGCGAATGGTGTGAATTATGGAAAAATCAAATGATATATATATATTTTTTTAAGTGTAACTAACTATACTGTGCAATGCAAAATACTGGGACGATTGCTGACATAATGATCTCTGTTGTGAACAATATCAGTAATTCTGTATCTGATATGTCTTATGTTGAGCCAGTTCCGCTCACTGATGTGGGAGAAAACATATCTTTTTTTTTCTTCAGATATTCCCTCTGATCTTTTATCAATTAAACCGCCTCAAGGGCTAGAGAGAACCAGATGAGAAGCAGCAAGATAAGTGGTGAGAGGATGTAGCCATGGTTCTAAGAGAGGAACTGGGCGAAAATGCATTTATTTGATGATGGTGAACTTTACATTGGCGTAATGTGTCCTGTGACACGCTTTCCGAGGTATTCCCTGGGCTTCAGTGGAAATGCAGTGAATGCTAAGCGAGATAATTTATAGATAAAACATGAAAGAATTGTTCAGAGTTGGCTTTTTGTGTAAGAAGGCAGCAGGAGAAATAAAACCACCCTTTTTCTGTCTTATATTTTTAGCAGGGTATATGCTGGGGGAAAAAATGTTTTCACACAAGGAAGATCTTTTCATTAAATTCCATTGTGGAATTATAATTTATTTAGTCTGAAAATGAGGAATGACCTTAATCAAATTAAATTAATTTTTCCAGAAGAAACATATAATTATCAAGAGTCGTATTAACATTTTTTTAGCTCTTCCAAGAAATTGCTAAATGTTTGCACTGTGTGCAAGTAGAAAGGGAGCCAGAAAAAAAATTGAATATGAACTAAAGTTGACTGTATTCTGTTTGAGAAGTGCGAACTTGGCAGTGATAGTCAAAGCAGAGCAACTTGTTTATTGGAAATTCCAAACTATGGAGGCAGAATTCCAAATGTGCAAAAGTGCTGTTCAGCTTTCAGAATGATACTTAAAAATGTAACCGCAATTAACATTTATGAAGGGGTAAAACTGTTCGATACTAGAAGGCAAAAATTGTGTAAATACTTATTTGTTTTAAATTCATAAATTAAAAAAAAAAGACAATATTCTGTCTGCACTGCTGAAGAGATTAATGCGCAAACACTCATTCTATATGGGCGAAACAGGGTTAATGAAAAACTATCCATTATAATCCAGCTGTCATCACCAGGTGGATTTATGATTTACAAGACTGAATATCTATGGGAAATCCCTTTTCTTCTTCTTCCAACCTTTCCCTATTCATTGGGACTCATCAAGTCTTTACGCATATAGAATTTTAATTTTTTCTTTATTATTCTTGAAGAAATTGAAAAATGAAGTTGTACTGGTTTTTTGACTTTTGCATGTCGTTTGTATAATTACCGTTGAGAATTTAGAAAAGCATACTGCCAAAAGTAGCAATCAAATTAGAGTACATAGTGCTAATTATTATTTAACTGTGGGATATAGATCATAAAGGTACCTGAAGAATCTTCTCAGAAGTTCTCTTGCTCTTGGTTGAAGTGTAGTAGTATCCATGGGAGGGAATCAAACATAGAAGCATAATTCATTTTCAGCATTAAATACGTTGTTTTTCATGTTAATTAGTTATTTCTGTCAGTTGCTTTGTTTTAGGGGCAGAGAGTGAGGTAGAGCCCTGTAGAGTTTATTTGTTTCTGGTAGCACTTGTAGCTTGTTCCCAAATGATCCCAAAGTTGAATGAGCAGATGTGGTCACACCAAATTCGTGGTTGCACTTGAGTACAGAAGTCTTAGGGTGCGTTTTATTAATGTCGCAAGGTTTGGAGTTGGTGATGGGCAGAGCTGAGAGCTGTGCATTCAGGGTGCCTGGACCTGACCCCGCCGAGAGTGCTTCTCCAGCTGTTTCTTCTGCTTCTGGTCTTCATGCAGCAGGATAAGATCTGCTGCCATCTGTTCCTCACGCCGTTCAGCCTTTTCCAGACAGAGCTGCCATCGTCGTGGGCACTGGCTGATGTGGCAGCAGTGATGGAGGTGAGGAAACGAGAGCAGCTACAGCGTGCCTGCTGAAGAGGGCGAGAAGGGCAATAGGAGGAGGGTAGTGCTTCAGAATTGACTGTTCCTGCTTTCCAGTTCTGCATCTGATTGAGGCCTTCCAGTACTTAAAGGGGGCCTACAGGAGAGCTGGGGAGGGACTTTTTACTAGGGCGTGTAGTGATAGGACAAGGGGAAATGGCTTTAAACTGGAAGAGGGGAGATTTAGATCAGATAACAGGAAGAAATTTTTCACTCTGAGGGTGGTGAGGCACTGGCCCAGGTTGCCCAGAGAAGCTGTGGCTGCCCCATCCCTGGAGGTGTTCAAGGCCAGGCTGGATGGGGCTTTGAGCAACCTGGTCTAGTGGGAGGTGTCCCTGCCCATGGCAGGGGGTTTGGACTAGATGATCTTTAAGATCCCTTCCAACCTAACCCATTCTATGATTCTGTGATCTCCTGGAGCTTCTGCTAGTTGTGTGCTCAAGCCCCAGGGGGGACTGCCAGGAGAAGTAAGGGTCGGCAGCAGTGGCTATGAGAAATTGCATGGTAGGAGGATGGAATACATTTGACACAGGCTAAGATGAAGTTCAATGGCTATACAAAGAGATAAAACTTCCCTAATTTTAATTGGAAGTGACCAATTTTATTCACATTGAGCAAGTGATCTACCAAAACCAGTGGCTCACATGAGATTCGTACATGATGTGGGGATACTGAACAAGAAGGAGGGATCTGATTAGGAGAATTAGCTTGCGGGACTGATGTTCTCAATCCATGTAGAGGAGGGAAACAAATGCACCCAGAGCAGGAGGATACACAGAGAGTTTGGAACCCTTAATGGAAAAAGTACTATTAACTAAGTAGGCTGACATGGACTGCAGAGATATAATGGCAGAGGCACGATTCCCAGAGAGCTGGAACTCCTATCAGCCACGCATGAGCTCTGTGGATGTTAATTCGTTTCTTGTAACATTTTTATGAATCTGTGAACTGTCTTAATCTCTTTTCACCTGAAAAATGCTGGGACTTCCGAGTGGAAGAATTCAGGCACCTGTCTTTAGAGTTCATTAAGTCTATCAGGAAAAAACCCATTGCTGCCTCAGCGCTGCGAAGGGTCATGCCCCACAGATTGTGCTCTTCTGGCTGAAGTCTTAAGGCACACGGGGAACCTTCAGTGTTATGGAAGTTTTGGAATCTTTGTGTAGTGTCTTGTGATGGCAAAGACAGGAAAAAATTAATTTTGCAGAAGAGAAAGACTTGCATAGGAGAGTCAGAGCAAAAAAAGAGCTTAGGCTGTATGATAGGCTCCGTTTTATAATGCCTGCAACAGCTGAGACGTTTTGAAGAGGCTTCAAAGAAAGGAACGGAGTCTTCAGTCTGTGGCATTACAATAGAATGCCATTTGTTTAGGATATTTGGTGGGGTTTTCCCCTCAGTTATACAAAAGCCTTTGTTCATGAAACGCTGTCTATAGCTACCCATAGCTGTCCAAGGCTCTGATGGATACAACGCTGTAAGAAAGAGGCAGAGGCTGAACGGTGTGTTGGGTCTCTCCTTCTCAGCCTATTTAGTTAATTTCTAGGCAAGTTAATGACCAACCTCCGACTGGAATTTATGTCGATTTGCTGGCGCTGACTCCTGGTGCCTTTGAGAATAACCAGTTCTATTTTTCCATATGGAAAAATGGACAAAGTTCAACGAATGCCCACCCGCATCGCGTGTCTCCTGTCTTGGAGATACAGCAGTGCGCAGCTTACAGGGCGCTCTCAAACCAGTGCCCTCATAGATAATGAGCCTGGAAC